CCTAAGGCTACAAACTGGAGTTTCAACGCTTCGAGGTTTCTTGCCTCCAACCTTCCTGTGTCACTGCACATTTTAGCAAATGTCCATCAAGCATTCACAGTTCTTTGGTACCAAGGTCCAGTTCCTGTTAGAGAACGTTTTCAAGGATTTTACTCCATCCTGTTCACAGTTCCCAACCCAAGGGGGGCGTTCACCAAATCTATGATCTCAGAGCTCTGAATATCTTCATTCTAGCCCAGGAGTGTCCTTCCTTTTGACTTTCCAGAGCCGCAATGGAAGAGTTGTCTTGGGCCATACATAAAATACATTAAAGTAGAACTGTAGGCAGAACTTTTTTTCATTTTTGATAGAGCAAGGGAGGGTTATAACCCCTGTCAGATTTTTTTAGTTTCGCCATGTGTCCCATTGCAGAGAATTCCCTTGATTTCCTGTCTCATAGCCAAACAGGAAGTGGTAGGAAATCCTTGCAAATTAAGGGAATTCCTTGGGGACCCCCAGGTCACCAGAACTAATGTCCCCATTGGAAGTATTCCCCTCTGTTACTTTTCTGGGGACAACCCAAAATTTGGGATTTTCTTTTACTTTCACTTTCAATGATAATGGTAAATGGAACAAATAGGATGAATCTCCTTAACGGGAGCACGGATTGCAGTAAAAACTGATATGGGATCTAATCTCTCTCCACTCTATACAAAACTAAAAAAAGGAAATGTTTTGCCTTTAGTTATGCTTTACCAAAGTGGCAAAAAAGTTGCACAAAAAAGTGAAAAATGAAATATAATAAAGCTGCTGGAAAAACAATCAGATCAATTGTGTACAAATAAGCATAAATAAATTGCCACATTACACCATCACTGATGTCAAAATAAATACATAAATAATGAAAATGGCAACATATAATCAAGTCCCAATAAAGAAATCATGAATAAAGTCCAAATATTCTGTTATTGTGTAATCAAACACCGCGTGTCTTCAAATAAACCAAGTGCACCACCAAGTAATAGTAGGACTCTTACCGGAATATGTGGATTCTTAAAGTAATAAGAGTCACAAATGCATGAATTGCTTAAAGATGTATATCCAGCATAACTCTCAAGCAGGGAAAATATGCTGGACAATCATAATGAGCGTAAAGGATCCCTTCAGATTATCCCCTTCTTGTATGTCTCCGATATGTGCATTCTCCAATCATCCCAGATCAGGCACTTGTTCTGATCTCATTGGCTACGACTGGATCCAGGACAGTCCCCCGAGAAAAGAACCTGTGTGTTGGGAGATCCGTTGATGAAGGTACAAAGTTGGGAGAACTAGTGAAGAAAGTCCAGCATCTTCTGCACAATAGAGTGTGATTACACAATAACAGAATATTGGGACTTTTTTTTCACGATTTCTTTATTGGGACTTGATTATATGTTCCTGTTTTCTTTATTTATGTATTTATTTTGACAACAATGATGGTTTAGCGTGGCAATTTGTTTATGCTCAGTTATACTTTACTAACAAGGATAGCTGATGAGCAGAAAAAGTCAGGCAGATCACACTTTAATGATCACTGATATAGATAATGTACCTGTCAGAGCAGTAAAACTTCACTTTTTCTTTCTTTTTTTTTTCTTTTTTTTAAGTAAAAGAAGGCAACATAAAACTAGTGCTATATTGGACACTGTTTTTGATAAACTAACAAATCAGTATCTGGTTCGATGGATGCACTGTAGTAGCAATTCTTAATGAATTCTCAAGGTGCTCATCAGATATTTTGATTCTAATTTTGCCCTACATGTGCCCTTCCTTGAAAATAGTTGCTCACAAATATAGTTGCTGCCAAAAACTGATGACATGAATCATATATATTTGAGGAGTGGGAGATTTTACTTTGGGATTTTGTTGAATTGGTGAATTTTTCCTTCAGCCCCATGTGTTCGCTAAGTGTAGAGCACATTCATGGCTGCAGGTTGGACACTTCTGTTTTAGCCCATGAATTCTGCTTGGAATTCACCAAGTCTTCCATCACCTTCCTTCACACCAGGGAAACTTTCTGGCTTCTGTGGACATCAGAGATTCGTTACCTGCATGTCCCCATCTTTACAGCACATCAGCATTTCCTACGTACTTCTGTGGGGCCCTGATATTTTTATACCTTCCTCTCATTAACTGATTTAATCATTAAAAGATATTGAACTTTTGGATACTTGTTTGGCACTACTTTAACTCTGTTTACTCTTTTTGGTCTGTTCTCTCCACCAGGGGTGGACTGACAACTCATGGGGCCCCCGGGCAATAGGGGATCATGGGGCCCCTGTGTCCTTGCCCAAACTCAAAAAAGCCTATGAAAAAGGTACCAGGGGCATCTCATGGGGCCCCCTACTGACCCCGGGCCCTCGAGCAGTGCCGAGTTTCCAAATGGTCAGTCCGCCCCTGCTCTCCACTCTATCCATTGCATCCATTGACTTTTTCCTCAAGAGCTCTTGCAGAAGTCCACGAACACTACACGTAGAGCAGAGTCAGACTGACTCTTGCTGGGAGAAGTTGGCATAGCTATCAGGTTCCAGGGTAGTGGAGGCATTTGAATTCAAATGATTGACTAATTTTAAATGGCTAATTGCACTTATGAGCTCTTTGTGTCTAGAAAAAAGTTTAGTAGTGTTTTAGGAGTGTTCAGCATTTTTTTTTTCTGCTTCTTCCAAAGAAGCAATAAAAGTGTGTTTTTTTTTTTTTTTTCCCTAGAAGCTGAAGCTTGAAAAACACTTCTAACCTACAATAGTGTGCATGGACACATAGGATAATACTATTTGTTTCTAGGGGCAGAAAAAAAATGGAGCCTTACATGTCATAGCGTGAGTCCCTTTAAATGTTCCAGTTTAAGATGGTGTCATGAGCGCTGCTCCAGGTTTTCAGTTTCAGGATGGCTTCTTTGTCTTGCAGTGTCCCTGCAGGGACTGGATTTGTGTCTTCTTTCACTGTGTGTGTCAATAGAAACACACAGCCCTGTAACCTAGGATAGCAAGGTGCTCCTACCTTCTCCAAGCTAACAAACTGGCCCCAAACTGCATTGTCTGCTGTTAACCTTGTCTTGTGAAGATCAGAATTTCAGGGAAGCAACAGTTATAGAGCAGGAGTCGGCAGGATTAAACAGCAAGTGCTGGAGTATAAATTTTACCAAATTGTTTATTGGAGATTGTTTATTTTAATGTGGTATACTAAAACTGAGAGGTTAGTACTGATTTAAGCATTATAAAAGGTCAGATTTTTTTTATTTTTAGTGGTCTACTTTCAGTGACAATTAGGCTTTCATTCTCTAGCTTCTGCTTTTTTCAAGGGTGTTGCGTGTGTACCCTATGGTCAGTCCTCTGATGGCTCTGTGGGACCTGAATTTGGTACTTTCTGTTTTTCAGAATATTCATGGACTTCCGATATTAAAGATAAACTCAGTACCCCTTAACACCCCCCCTTCCTTCAAGGGTCAGTCTAGGGGTAGCTGAACAGACATAATACCCATCTCCAACCGCTCATCCTCTCTCCCTGGAGCTCTTTTCTGTTGGAATCCTCACTTGCAGGCTGTTAACTCTTCATTGCACATGGTGGGGGTGGGCATGTGACCAAAGTGTCTTAAGAGAGGAGGCTGCAAGGAGCCAGTTGCATGGATTGAGCGATCCTACCAGAGCCCAAAGAAAGGTATTTCTCCATATCTGTGCATCCCTATACTAAATGAGCATTGGGGGGATCCTACTGCAATGGTTGTTTTTGTCACATTCCTGGAGTTTAATTCTTTCACAAAAATTGCCTTTTTGGTTGCCTTCACCTCAGGGTGGCAAGCCTTTCTTTTTGCTTTTGTGGAGGGACAAGGTGGTACTTTGTCTGAGGCTTTCCTTTTTGACTAAGATGACCTCTACTTTTCATCCTAATGATGATGTCAGCCTTCTCTTCCATTGTTCCAACCAATTCATTTTAATCATATTGTGCTTCATTGATGTCCTTCTGGCTATGTAAGTGTACTTTTCCTCTATGGTCTGATTTTTAAAAACAGGTTTACTTTTTGTAATGTTGGTGAGCCCATGCAAATGTCAGGAAGCCACCTCAACTGCTATCTCATGATGGATTAGACAGACTTTTGTTGTTCACGCTTACACCATGAGGTGTCAGTCACCTCCTTTTCCTATTGCAACCTATTATTCTAAAGCTATTAGGGCCCCTTTCACATGGACGTTTCAATCGGGTCCGCCTGCCCATTTGTTAGGCGGACCCGATCAGAACCTTTATTCTCTAGGGAGTGGCCGGTGTAAACATACATGTATCCGTTTATACCCACATGCATCTGGTCTGATCCGCCAAAAAGGGATGAATGGGGATCCGTTCCTCTTCTGTCTGTCGGATCAGAAGACAGTTGGATGAAAACAGACAGGTGGTCCGTTTCCATCCGACCACCCATAGAGGACAGCTGGCTGTCAGGTCTGCCCCTTGTGAAAGTGGCCTAAAAGGTCCTGGACTTTTCACCTTCAGGCATCTGTTTTCCCAGGTTTGCATGGCAGCCACCTGGTTGTCAGTTAACACTTTAACACAAAATTTTACAAAGTCGATGTTGCTGCTTTTGCTGATGCTTGTTTTGGTCCCAGTATGTGATACCTTAAATAACATAGTGCCAACCTTTTGGGTCAAAAGAAAGATACTGTAAATGCTTTGTCAAGGCAGTGTGATCTCTTTGAGATGTAATAACTACCTGTAGGTGTTACACATTCACTGTGGCATGCAGGAATGCAACATAAAAAAGCAAATCGTACACTGCCTGAACTGAGTAAGTATTGTTAGATGCCCATAAGTAGGGAAGCAGGTTGTGAGAGTGAAAGAAAAATATGCAGTCATTATATGTTTTGCTTCAAAATGAGTGTGATTGTTGGAACATTTTTACGGGATTCTTCACAGTCTTTATACAGTATATTTGATCCTGTTAGATTATCTGTAGTTCATTCTTATAATGTATATAATTACTGCTTTTCTTATGGCAGGCCTGGCATCTGAGATTTAGTCATCTTGCTGGATATGGAGCCAAGTACTATTCCTATTTAATGTCTCGGGCCGTTGCATCCATGGTGTGGAGACAGTGCTTCATGAAAAACCCATTTGACCGGTAAGGGATATACACTGTTTCATTCTGTGATGGGAAGGTTATCTAGGGGATCGGTCACCTGTGTAACCACATTGCAGTTATCCTGGATAACCTGTCATTTCAGTAACATGCTGGGTACCGTGCCAGGTTTTTTCAAGTACTTTACTTATCAGAGGCCCAGATATCTCAAAATGCAACTACATTCAAACAACTGAGTAACAGCATAAACATCGCTAAGTAAAGACCCAACCTGCTAAAGGATTTGTACTAATGTCCATTCATCCCTGAGATTTACAGTGGAGGAATATAATGGTGTTATCTATCCACTCCCAACCTGCTGACTGAACAGTGAAAGACCATCAGCAGATTGATGAGGTATTGGTATGATCTTTGTCAGCACATTTGGATGCAGGGCACCTGATTGGCTGTCAGTTCCTGCCCCTCCCTCTTACAGTATTAAGCTGGCTATACATTTATTAAAATTTCTCTAGTTCAGCAGGGACTGGCCCAGTTTCGATCCATGTATGTACACTGTGGTATCTGATAGATTTCTGTTCAACCAGCCTTTTGGAAAATTTCAGCTCGATCGGCTGCTGCAGACTATAGCCTGCAGCGCTGATCAGTGTATGCTGATGGTGGAAAAGTCTTCCCGCTGTCGGAATGCAAAGACACAGCAGGGAGGATTCCCCTGTCTACCTTAAATGTGTGGATGGGGGAATGCGGTCAATTTTTAATAATAAAGAGCTGCATTAGTTTGTGTTTTTTATACTTGCCTGGAGTTGATATTTAAAATGGAATTCCAGGATGGAACTAACTAAGCAAAAACTTTTCCTAGCCCCATTCTAACACCTATACCAACTACCCTGTTGAAGTTAGATGTATATTGTGGGACAGATCTTTACATGCCAGAGAACTCGCAGCCAGTTCCTTTACTAAATGCCAACTTGAAGCGGTACTTTCTGCAGAGTGCCAACAACTGAGAACTGTATAGATAAGCAAGAATGTTTTTGACTCCTGAGGTGGCTGTGAGCTGTACTATGCACAACTTCAATTATAGTTGTTATTCAAACGATATCTGTATTTACACTGACTAGCCATAACAGGTAAAGTTAATAACATTGATTAATAATGACATCTGAAAGTGGGTGGGAGATATTAGACAGCAGATGAACATGTTGTCCCTGAAGTTGATATGTTTAAAGCTGAAAAAATGGGCAAGCATAAAGACTTTGACAAGGGCCTAATTGTAATCACTATACGACTGGGTCGAAAAAACTCCAAAACTGCCCTTTATGGGATGTTCCCATTCTGCAGTGGTCAGAACCTACCAAAAGTGTTCCAAAGAAGGAAAACCAGTGAACCAATGACAAGGTCGTGGGCAGCCAAGGCTCATTGATGTACATGGGGAGTGAAGGCTGACCTGTGTAGTCTGAGCCAATAGAACTGCTACTGTAGAAAGTTAATGTTGATGATGATAGAAAGGTGTCACAACACACAGTGCATTGCACTTTGTTGTGTGTGGGACCACGTAGCCGCAGACCAGTCAGGTTGTCCATGCTGACCCATGTTCACAACCAAAAGTGCCTACAATGGGCACAAGATCATCAGAACTGAACCATGGAGCAATGGAAGTCAGTGGTCTGGTCTGATTAATTACATTTTTTTAACATTAAGTGGATGGCTGGGTGTGCGTGCATTTCTTACCTGAGAAAGAGATGGCACCAGGATGCAGTATGGGAAGAAGGCAAGCCGACAGAAGCAGTATTCTGCTACTGAAGGCTTGGTGCCTGATACCATAGCATACCTTCAGAGGTCTAGTGGAGTCCATGTCTCGACTGGTCAGGGCTGTTTTTGTGGCAAAAGGAGGAACTATTCAATTCTAGGTGGGTGGTCATAATGTTATGGCTGATTGATGTATTTTCTATGCCAACAGATTTCATGTATGTGCAATCATGTAAAAGTAAGAGGAATGGGAAAGAAGTACATGGAAACTGAGAAAATAAATGGGTGTTTGATGTTACAAGTAGATAATAATACAAAGGTATCAAAATTCCTAAGTGGATTGTTTCAAAGCTGAAGTTTAATCATTATTTTAAGTCAGCACCAGGGATGATGCTTACATGAAAGCCGAGTTTGCCATGTGCTAATGGCTGCTCTGTTCTTTGAAATCTTCTGTTCTCTGCCCCCCCTTCCTGATACCCCTACAGCTGTGATCTACCAGTGCTGCAGATGTTGGTACAAGCTGCATCACCTCTGAGAGGCACTCGTCTTACTATGCCCACTCCATAGAAACTGTGCTATCAGTTCCCACTGTAATCGAATACAGGAGAATGAATGAAAGGTTTGCCTCCTCCATTCATTGTGGGAACTGATAGTACAGTTTCTATGAATGGAGCAGGGGTTGGAAAGGACAGGCATACTTGCCAGTTTTGACAAATGCCTGTGACAGTTGAAGCTGCTCATATTAACCCCCACAGCCTTGGGAGATCACAGCTGCAGGGGGAACCAAGAGACAGAGGACAGAAGGTTTTAAGGAACAGAGCAGTCACCAGCACACAAGACGCTCACCATTCATGTAAGCACTATCCCTGATGCTGATATAAAAATGATTAAATAAATTCCTAAACTCCAGCTTCAATTCTGTGAATTATTCTGTATAAAGTTCTACAAAGCAGAAGAAATGTTAGCTTGTTCCTTTATTGGGTGTATGTAAATGAAGCTGCACATTTTGGGACCCAGTACAGTGACCATCATTCAGTACCAAGTTTTTCTGACATGGCAGGAACTCTTCCTGAGGTCTCTCAAGAATGAAGGCTGTCATTGTGTCACGGAGGCAGACTTCATTAAATCTGTATCAGATCAGGAAACAAGAGACTTATCACAGCATTTTCTTGTGAGAATGGAGCATGCAGGTGGCAGTAACAGGATCTGTCTTGTCCACAGGGTGATGGGAGAGCGCTATCGCAGGGAGATGCTGGCACATGGTGGTGGAAAGGAGCCCATGCTCATGGTAGAAGGTAAAGTGAAAACAAGAGACGTTTGATCTTCTGGTCTTATTGTCTGTTCACTGGACCAGGGTGTATGTTTGGCAAACAACAGCTGCTGATGTGATGGTTATCAATAGTTCAGATGTTCGCAGTGTTGGCTTTTTTATGTGAACAAAGCCCTGTCAGTAGATTCTCATTAGAGAAGAAGCTACGTACAGAACCTGGGAAACTGGACCATCATCTTAGTGTTTTCTATGCCTGGAGATGTTATGAGCACATCCTTGTGTCATTGCATATATTTATACAAGATAGCAATCTTAAATTATATCTAAAAATAAACCCTTTCTGTAAAAAAAACAAAAGAAAACCAAAATAACTTGGGAGCACAAATGATATTATTTATATATATATATATATATATATATATATTTTTTATTTATTTATTTGGGGGGGGGGGGGGTTATGCCATTGTAGAGATTATACTTCACTTCCTGTTCTAGAATCACAACAGGAAGTGAGCGGAAATCTTTAAGTGAAAAAAAATCCCATTTTGGACAGCTTTCACTAGAACAGGTGTCCGATTTTGGAAGATTTCCACTCACATCCTGTTTCAGTGACAACTGTAACATTTTGGATTTCTGTCTTGGTGACCACCTGAGCTAATTGTGGGAGTGAATCCTTCTCACAAAGACAGACAGCAATATTAATAATGAAAAAAAAGAAAGGATAAAAACAGATCTTTCTAATCCTTAAGTCTACCCAGAATAAAAAAAAGGTTTGATTTTAGGTATACACTTTTAATTGATAAAAAAAACAATGAAAATTCCAGTTTTATGATTTACATTTTTTGCCATAGTTGACGTGTTGTAGAGATAACAAAAAAAAAATTCTCAGCTGTAACTTGCTAGCCAGCCTGCAAACAAACTGAATTAACCTGTCTACCAGTATGCGTTAAAATCAGGGGTTTAGTTAGCACACATTTGCAAATACATACGTAAGCTACAGAGCCTCGTCTCGGCACCCCAATATTCTGTAGTTCCTAACTTTACAAATTTTAAGAGTCCCCATATTAGAGGCACATGTATTTAATGACTAGACTGAGGGCAGGTGAACCTGAGGGAGCCCATCCCTGCTTAAAGGTACAGGAGTGCACTGAACACCCAGCATGTAGCACAATAGCAGCTAAGGTGTCCAGTGCGCCCCCTCGACCAACAATTCAACAGAACAAAAAATGATCACTGCCCCAGTCTATAGTTGGCCTTCACAGCAAGGAGCACATGGAAGGGCAACGCATGTCAAACAACAAAAAAGGCTTGTTGGTCGAGGGGGTGTACTGGACACCTTAGTTGCCATTGTGCTGTATGCTGGGTGTCCAGTGCGCTCCTGTACCTTTTTGAGGGGTGGGCTCCGTCAGTTCCACCTGCCCTTGATCTTTCCATTAAATACATGTGTCTCTGTTATGGGGGCTCTTAAAATTTGTAGAGTTAGGAACTACAGAATACTGGGGTGCCGTGACGAGGCTCTGTAGCTTACGCATGTATTTGCAAATGTCTGCTAACTAAACCCCTGTTTTTAACACATACTGTTAGGTTAATTCGGTTTGTTTGCAGGCTGGCTGGCTAGTTAGAGCTGGGAATTTTTCTTTGTTGTTGTTTGACATGTGTCGCCCTTCCATGTGCTCCTTGCCATGAAGGCCAGCTATAGACTGGGGCAGTGGCCATTTTTTGTACTGTTGGGGAGATAGCCTTACAAAAAAAAAAGGGGGGGGATATAACCCCTTCACTTTTTTTTTTGCCATCTGTGTCCTGTTGCGGAGATTTCCCTTTACTTCCTGTCCTGTAACCAAAACAGTGAGAGAAAATTTCTCCAAAGTGATGGAATCCCGGGGTGTTTTCTTTCTTTTTCTCTTGGGGTTTTCTTTTACTTTCACTTTCAATATTAATGGTAAACAGGACAAATAGGATGAATCTCCCAAATTGGGGGCACACTTCTTTTCAAGTAAAACAGTTGTCCCCAGGACAGGGAGGTGAAATCACTCTTACAGAGCACCAGATAGCAAAAAATACTAAACCAGGTTTTAATCCTTGCTCGCTCTACCCAAATCACTAGAAAAGATTGTGGCTGGACATGCACTTTAGTAGTTCAGATATATTTTAATTTTAGTATAGATATTTGTTAGCGTATACCTGTTTAATTGGCATCAATAAAACCATGCAAGAAACTGTCTCCATAAAATATACTATCCAGTACAGTTGTTACAAGTGCTTGACATAGTTCCATTAGTACACAAAGGTATAAAGCATAAGGCTTCATGCACATTGGCTGTTTGGCCCACATGCATCAATTCCTGGCATTTTCGGGTACCCCCAAGGCACAGGTTCATAGCACAACATGAACCGAATATTTCATCCTGTCATAGATGTTGACAGGTTGTTTGTAACAGGACTGGAGATTGCACCTGTGCATCTGGGTGGCAAAAAACGCCAGGAATGCACACACGTGTCAAACAGCCAGTGTGTATGTGGCCTAGCCTGTGAGGCCAACCATTTTTCCCTTTAAAAATCTAAAAGAAAACTTAACAAAACTGTGTCATCTGAATCATAGCTGAACATCTATGAGTATTGCACCTCGGTTAACCCAGCTGCTGAGTGGTCCTGAAGGCTTCCATAGACCATGTGAATGCCACCCTGACTGCCAAGAGCTATTTCGCATTAGCGAGGTAATAGACTTGTTGGCCTCAGATCTGTAGGTCTATTTAACATGATGCTTTGCCCCTTGTACCAGGGTGGATTTGATTTAAATCAAACTGATTTAAATCACGATTTAAATCACTAGTCAGTAATGCTTGATTTAAATCCTAGTTTTCTACATAGACTAATTCTTGCTGGTATAACTTTAATATGCAAGTAGATGAAGATTTTTAGAATAACAACTTTTCATATTAGTTTTTTTATCCCCAGTTTAATAGGTTAATCATTCATATTTGGACAACTTTTCTGTTGTACTTAGGAAGGAGAAAAATAATCATTACCTTAATAACAATTTAAATAGATTTATTCAACTGAAACAATAACATTACAGCATATGTTATTTGTTTAAACAAACATCTACGTTTGTTAACTAATTTGGCTAAACAAAATCTATATATTTTAAGAAACTTAGACTGTCAGCCCCTTCTTTCTCACACTTAGTTTCACTTTCTTCTTGTGCAGATCTATTCCACTCCAAACAATCAGAAAAATATTGTTTCTATTCTATTCACTGAACTTCTTGAAACTTAGCACTGAAGGGGTTGATTCTGTATTCATAGTTTGTAGAAGTTAGTATAAGGTCTTTTTCTTAACTCTGTTCATGTTATAACATTTTTGCTGTGAAGAGGCATGTGATCTCCGCTGAGTCAAATTCAGTTTTGAGAACTGCAAAAGTAAACCAATCATCTGTGATAATATCTTGTAGGCAGAGAAACTGCCCAATAATCTTACAAAAACCTCTGGAAGAGCATGACATTGTGAATGGATTAATGGAATTTATTTACCCAAAAAATTAAACATCTACGGCCTTATTCTACATAATTAAAAAACTAATCTTTATTTCATGATGGAATAACCTTTGGATGGTAATATATTTTCCTCAAAAAGCATTTTATTTTTAAAAAAATCTGATTTAAATCAAAAAAATCTGATTTAAATCAAAAAAATCTGATTTAAATCAAAAAAATCTGATTTAAATCAAAAAAATCTGATTTAAATAAAAAAAATCCGATTTAAATAAAAAAAATCTGATTTAACCGTTTCAATACCGTGCAATTTTACACCTTCCTGCCCAGGCCATTTTTCAGGTTTCAGCACTCTCACACTTTGAATGACAATTGCGCGGTCATACAACACTGTACCCAAACTAAAATTTTATCATTTTCTTCACACAACTAGAGCTTTCTTTTGGTGGTATTTAATCACCACTGGGGTTTTTATTTTTTGCTAAATTAACAAAAAAAGACCAAAAAGTTTGAAAAAAAAACACATTTTTCTTTGTTTCTGTTATAAAAGTTTACAAATAAATAATTGTTCTTCATAAATTTAGGCTGAGATGTATTCTGCTACATGTCTTTGGTGAAAATAACCCAAATTAGGATGTATTTTTTAGTTTGTAGGAAAGTTATAGAGTTCACAAACTATGGTATAGATCTGAAAATTGATCAATCCTGAAGTACTGACAGCCAATCTAATTTCTTGAGGTCCAAGAATGTCAGAATAGTACAGATATCCCCAAATGACCCCTTTTTGCAGAGTAGACAGTCCGACATACTTCATAAGAGGCATGGCGAGTTTTTTGAAGTTGTATTTTTTTGTCATAATTTTTTGGAAAATTGGAAAATTAAAAAAATTATTTTCACTATTTTTTTTTTTTACGTATTGTCACCAGTGCAGTACAGCGTCATCATATAACTGGCATGGCGGTGAACAGGGACACTGACTGGTGACAGTATGAAAAAAAAAAAATATATATATTTTTTTTTTATTTTATTTTATTTTTTTATTATATTTAATTTTTTATTACATTTTTTTAAAGATTTTTTTTTCATATTTTACTATTACCATAGTAACATTGTACTACTTTGGGGAAGTGATCAGTATTTTTTTTTTTTTTACACAATTTGCTTATAGCAAAGAATTACTTTGCTATAAGCAAGCATTTACCTGAATGAAATCGATTCATTCAGCTTTTTTTTTTTTTTTGTGCTTTGCTTAGCTGTGATTTGGTCACAGCTAATCACATGACATGTGCATGTGATTAGCTGTGACCATTCACAGCTAGGCACTAGTATACAATGGATGGCATCATGAATGAAGCCATCCCTTGTATACAACTGTCATGTGACCTGCTGTGATTGGTCACAGCAGGTCACATGGTACCAGCAACGGGAGCCGGTACTCGGATCTGTCATCGGCCGTGTCCGAGGTGCACGGCCGGTGACAGATCGCGCTGCTGCGCCGCTCTGCATTAGCGCAAACTGCGCATGTGCAGGAGCACG